GCCCGGTCCAGCCCAGTCCACGGGAGGATGAAGTTCGCGTACAAAGAGGAGCATCCGTTCGAGAAGCGCCGCTCTGAGGGCGAGAAGATCCGAAAGAAATATCCGGACCGGGTCCCGGTGATAGTAGAGAAGGCTCCCAAAGCTCCAATAGGAGATCTGGACAAAAAGAAATACCTGGTGCCTTCTGATCTCACAGTTGGTCAGTTCTACTTCTTGATCCGGAAGCGAATTCATCTCCAAGCTGAAGATGCCTTGTTTTTCTTTGTCAACAATGTCATTCCACCCACCAGTGCCACAATGGGTCAGCTGTACCAGGAACACCATGAAGAAGACTTCTTTCTATACATTGCCTACAGTGATGAAAGTGTCTACGGTCTGTGAAGCTGCGGCCCTTGAGGTGTGGGGGGGCCTCCCATTCCACATAGACAAAGGTGCCCCCCCCCTTCTTTGGCCTCCCCCTTCAGGCTCAACAACTTCCCTTATTCAAGACCTGCATTACTTCATGTTTGAGGGTTTTTCTCCAGCCCCCCTTACAGGTGGGGTGATGGTGAGAACGGCCCCTAGTACTTCCTTTCCCTTCCTTCACCTTTCTCTGTCACCTTCCCTGCTCTGCTTCAGACTTCTTGGTTGTCAGTCTCACATCCAGTGACTGTTTTGGTTTCTGTTCCCTTTCTAAGTACACAAGGGGTCCAAACCCCAACAAACCCTTTCTTTACCTTCTCTTTGGGGGTGTATGGAAGGGACTGAAATTGTGGAGGGGGAAGGTATGAGACACATCAATAAAGAGGAAACTACGAAGGTGAAAAATAAAATCCTTATTATAGATAAAAAGAATGAAGTACTAATATATACTAAAGCATGGGTGAAGCTGGAAACAGTATAACAAGCCAGTCATAAAAGATCAAATATTTTATATAACCGTTTATATGAAATATCCACAAAGACAATCTGTAGAAATAGAAAGCAAAGAAATGGGGGAAAGGGGGAATGGAGAGTTACTTATTAGCGGATGATGAATTTCAGCTTGTGATGAAAATCTTTTGGGACTAAATAGAAACGATGACTGCACAACAGTGCATACTAAATTTCAACTAACTCTACAATTTTAAATTACATGAATATTACTTCAATTTTTTTAATATTACTTCTATTTTTAATTAAAAGTTATCTTCTAGACTTTCTGCAAACCAAAGGAATAAATCAGAGTGATCAGATGACACCCTGAAATGGCTCCCCATCATCAGAAGCACTTTGGAAAGCTTATTAAAACATGGATTTAGGCCGCCCATCCTTGGAGCCTGATCAGTTTATCTAGATTAATCCAAAATACGAACTCACTGTGATCAAGTTGATCCTAACTCATAGCAACTTTCCAAAAGGTTTCCAGAGTTCTGAATCTTAATGGGAGGAGATTGCTTCACCTGGGTTTAAACTGCCAATCTTTTGGTTGACATGCAACACTTTGCCCACTAGGCCAACAGAACTCCTTACATCATGGTGAGACCTTGAAAATTTCAATATCTAACAAATTCTAAGGGAGCTCTGGTGATATAGAGGGTAAAGAGTTGTGCTGCCAACCCAAAGGCAAGCAGTTCTAATCCACAAGCTGTTCTGTTGGAGATAAAAGGGCAACTATTCTTGTGTGATTTACAGCTTCTGAAAATCCACTTGAGGGTCTCCTATGAGTCAGTTTTGATTTTATGGGACATAACAACAACAACAACAACAACAACAAAATTCCAAGGTGATATCCAAGGTGATAACACTGCTCTGGAGAACCACTGACTAGAAAGTCAGCTTGGACATTTGTAAGAAATACTATAAATATCAACCACCTGCATATTGTTGTGCCAACAAGTCTGCAGCAACTTATAGGGACCCCAGGAACAAAAGATAAGAACTTTATCCTACTCTACACATCCTCACAATCTCCCTCATTCTCAAGTTGCTTGTTAAATTCACTATGTCACTCCATATTATTGAAGGTCTTCCTTTCTTTCTCTGATTCTCCATCTTCCTCAGCATGATATCTTTCTCAAGGCACAGCCCATTCTGAAAACATGTCTAAAGTATATGTGACAAAGCTTCATATTTGCCTCTAAGGAGCATTCAGGTTGAACTTTCTTCAATATAGGCTCTTTTGTTCTTTTGGCAGTCCATGGGATATTCAGAACTCCTCTTCCCAACACCATCATTCAAAGGCATCTATTCTTCTTTGCTCTTCTTCACTCATTGTTGTAACTTTCAGATGTGCAGGAATTCATTGAAATACTATCACTTGGCTCAGGTGTAACTTTGTCTTTAAACTGGCACCCTTACACTTTGGAGAGGTCTTTGGCAGTAGATTTCCCCAACGTAATGTGGCTTTTTGTTTCTTGACTGCTGCTACCAGGTATGTTGAGTGTGGATCCAAGGAAGAGGAAATTGTTGACAACTTAAATCTTTTCTTCATCTATCATCTATCATCTATCACTGAATCTGTTGGTTCAGTGGTGGGGATTTATATTTTCTTTATATTAAGATGTAATCCATTTTGAAGACTGTTGTGTTTTTTTTTTTAATGGTTAGTGATTTAATTCTTGTTCAATTTCTAGAAGATTGTGTCATCTGCATAACACAGGTTGTTGATGAGGCCTGATCCTAATGTCATATTCTTCTACACATTGTCCAACTATTGAATGACTTTGCCAGCATACTGATTGAATATGTATGGAAAAAGAATATAATGGTGACACAGACTTCCATGATATTAACCCATAAAGTGTTCCCTTGCTCTATGAGGACAACTCCTTTTTTAGTCTATGCATAAGTTTTACATGAGCACATTAAGGATTCTGGGATTCTCATTTTCATAGTTATAATTTTTTATGATACACATAATCTTTGCATAGTCAATAAAATATTTCTAGTAAATAAATATTTTTCTGGCAAGTAAATATCTTTCTAGTATTCTCTGCTTTCAGCTAAGAACCATTTGACATCAGCAAAATCTTTATGACAACAAATCATAATCCCACCTCTTTATCCTTGCTATATCCTCTTTAGCTTTGGAAGTAATCAGCATGCCATCACGTTTCTCATTTTCAAAATTCATTCCCTAATTTCTTTCCTACTTATTTAAGTATATATCTTCTCTTCCTATTTAGGGTAAATTGCATTTATGCCTCCACTTTTTCACACTCCTTCACGTTTCTCTATATTCATGTCTTTTAAGTTCCTATAGAAAAGAGGCTAAATTAATTTTTTAACTCTTGGAGTTGATCTTGTAAGTTCATTTGGTCAATAGAATGAAGCTGATGGGATAATGTGCTAATTTCAAGATTATATCTTAAGAAACTTTTAATATATATGCTTAGCTTTGCCCTTCTGCAAGTATCAAGAGAGAAATATGCCTGACTTAACAAACTGACTTCAGGAGGATGTGGGAGATATGCAAGTCAGAGATGTCCAAGCTAAACTACTCATCAAGCCTGTCCAAAAATAGAAATGCTAGTCAAACCACAAACAAATAAAAATGCCTAAACAATGTTAGCTAGCCTTAGCCAGGAGCTGAGTTAACCAGACTAGATCAAGTGAACTCCAACCAATCCATAAATGTTTAAGTTCTGCTAATAAGTCATTTAAGTCATTGAGCTTTTATGTCATTTGTTATACTGTACCACTTAATTGATACATTTCAGTGTTAGCTTGAAAGTTGGCTTACCATTACATTAGTCCCCTCTGATCTCCAACTACCTTAACTGCAGATGGCCTTGAGAATCACCAACAGTTATGGGACTAGAATAAGAAAGAGAGTGCTTCCCACACTGAGTCTTTTCACACAAGACTTGAGGGAGGCTGGAGAAAGAATCTGGTGAGAGTGAAACTGTGGTGGATGATGTTGGAAAGACAGTGATTGCTGTAGAGAAACTGTGGCAAGTATAACCAGAGGAGTCCTGAAATAAAGGCCACAGTTAAAGGTTTTGTTGTTCTTTCTAGATAATGGAAGAAAAAGCTGACTGGTCAACTGAAATTGGAGCCTGGACTAAATGAGGAATTGGGCCTTAAGATGGCCACACTAAAACCTGGACTTGCAGTTGGTGATATTCTTTGCATCCTCCACTATTCAGCTTACTTTTCTAGTAAATTCCACTCTGCAACTCTGAGTTAAGTCTGTAAAGATAACAATAGATATCAGACCTGAATGATTGGTAGAAAGAGATCCAGGAGCATGGGGAGGTGCTCTGTCTGACCAAGCATATATCTATTTGCTGCTATGTATATTATTGATGGAGAGAGTTCCCATTTGTGAAACAAGTAGAAGTCATGGACAATACCACACTCACATTCTAATTATTCCTTCTTATTGTTGTGTTTATGTTCCATTGAGTTGCTTGCAACTCAACGACCTTATATGCAATAGCTCCAAATCCTACCCTATCCTGAACTGGTCTCACTGACTCCGACCCATCTAACCCCCATTTTTCCAGTTACTGTGTCAATCCATCTCAACCAAGGTATTCCTCTCCTGTGTTGTACCTCCTCCATGCATGATGTCCTTCTCCAAGGACCAGCCTTCCCAGCATCATGCCCAAAGTATTTCAGTGAGAGCTTAAAAATTCTTGCCTCCAAGGAGACACTTGGTTTTAACTTCTCTAAGACATACCTGTTTGTTTTATTGGCAGTCCATGGTATGCTCAATCCTCTTTTCCAACACTACAACTCAAAGACATTGATTCTTCTTCTGTCATCCTTAGTCTTGTCCAGCTCTCTGACGAATATCAAGTAATTGTGAAGACTATGTCCTGGGTCAGGTGCGCCTTAGTTTCTAGGCTGACATAATTTCTCTTTAAGAGGTCCTCCACAGCAGACTTCCCCAATGCAATTTGTCTTTTGATTCCCAGAAAACTGGTGCCAAGAGTGTTGATTGTAGAACCAAGTAAGCTAAAATTATTAATAACTTCAATCTCTTCTCCTTCTATTGTGGTGCTGCCAATTGGCCCAGTGATGAGAATCTTTTTCTTGATGTTGAACTTCAATCCACACTGAATATTATATTCTTTGACTTCTGCATAAAATGTTTCAGGTCCTTTTCAGTTTCAGCAAACAAGATTATATCATCTGCATAATGTAGGTTGTTGATGAGTTCTTTGTCATAATGTTCAAATGATCTGTTCCACATACAGATTTAAAATATATGGAGACAGGATGCATCCCTGACAGACTCCTTTCCTGATTTTGAACTATGCAGTAATTCCTTGCTCTATTATGATGACTGCTTCCTGATCTGAGTATAGGTTTTGCATGAGCACAATCAGGTGTTTTGTAATTCCCACTCTTCTCAAGGTTAGCCACAATTTGAGATCCACAGAGTATAGTCAATGAAACTGACATAGATATTC